TAACACAAGTTCTTACATATATTTTTTTAACCCCTATTTTTGTGTGTTATTATCAGCCTTTACCAAATGGTTGAGATACAAAGTGACTGTGGAAATGTCTCAGTGACTCCAAAGGTGATCTGCCGAGGAAACTATCAAAGGGTTAAGGCAAAAATGTATGAAAATAATGTGTCAATCATCTTTGAAACAATGGAGATAACATTTGGTCAGATGTGTTAACGATACGTGATTGAAGTGGATCCAACGCATAAAAACCAACACGACAATATCATATCAACTGCAACAAAAGCACATCTTTAACAGAAGTTCTCATCCTCATGAAACTTAAACAAACAAGTGCAAACAAATTAACGTTCTGTAAAGTATTTGTAAATTCAAGTGTGTTCTTAGTAAGTTTTTTCAGGCTGGCTTTAACATCTGCCCACAGGACGACCGATGAAGATTAGCCTAATTTAGCACACTCAGGCACATTTCCATTGGATAGTGTTGATTAATGCGCACTGCCCCGTTTCAAATAAAATATACATGAAAATAACCGCCTCTTTATCGACCAGAACAAGTAAAAGAACAGATTATTCTATGACATGTATTTATCTAAACACATTCCAAACGGCGTGTTAGCTTTGCTTCCTCAGTGAATCCATATCCAGTTTTTTATTTGATTGTTGATTTATTCTGGTTTTTAGTGATACAAAGTCATGTTGATTTTGAGATTTTATTTGTTCATAATCTTCAAAAAATCCCAAATAATGCATCGATAGTGTTGTATTTTAGTTCAAAGACCAAAAGGGGGCAAAAGCTTAATCTTTTACTTAACCGTATATGAAATAGTTTAAAACAATATCCGACCGTATCAAACTCAAAGTCCTCTGAGTACGAAGCAAAAAAATATCAAATATGGAGGAATAAAGTGTTTTTATATTAATTTGAGAACATTCTGACAACATTAAAACAAGATTCTCCAATTATTTCAAGAACTGTTGCTGTATTTTCTATTTCAAAGGGAGATATTGGCAAATCTTAAAGTAGTTCTAGAATTTAATATGCTGCTATCCAGAATACATAACTACAATATGTGTTACCTTAGATTTATTTACCACAATGTACATTGTAATATCCATAAATGCTAACACCTATTAACGGTTTAATTAGCATTTTTATCAATGATTGCATCACATGTAGTCTATGTTTTCAACTTCTGCAGCTTTTTGTTCATAAAAGTAAATTATTTATTTAATTCAAGTTATTTTGATTAGCATTTATGGATATTACAATGTACATTGTGGTAAATAAATCTAAGGCAAAGTGAGACTGGCATAATGTAAAAACTAATATTAGCCTTGTTAGCATGTTTTATGATATCAAGTAGAGTTAGCTAACTTGCCCAACACTAATTAGCTTGAATCTCACAAATAAGGCTAAAAGGTTAAAAGAGTTGCACACTATTATGTACAAACTGATGTAAATATGTTTATACCTTGTTCAGATGACAGTGAAACCTCCTACAGATTCAGCCCAGACTGCTGCTGCTGCTGTGAGAGGTCCTTCTCCTACGTCATCGCCGCCATTTTGGCGCCCCCTAGCGTTTCTATGCGGAAGTGAAAAGGTGCCACTTCAAAGCCGTTTTTTTTAACATAATTCATCTGAACATATCAAAATGAACACCTGAAATATTATAAACACATATTGTAGTTATATATTCTGGATAGCAGCATATTACATTCTAGTACTACTTTAAAGACAGTCTCAAACTAAGACACGTTTAGCCAAATTTGAGACATTTTTGACTAATTTTTGATCACTTTTTGCAGTGTACGCATCATATCAGCTCCGACACAGTCACACACGTCCTCAAACCAAAGTTTGTATATTCTGCACATAAACCCCCAGCCCCCCCCCCCCCCAGCAGAGCCACAGTGGTGCAGCCCCCCCCCACCCCCAGCAGAGCCACAGTGGTGCAGCCCCCCCCCACCCCCAGCAGAGCCACAGTGGTGCAGCCCCCCCCCCCCACCCCCAGCAGAGCCACAGTGGTGCAGCCCCCCCCCACCCCCAGCAGAGCCACAGTGGTGCAGCCCCCCCCCCCCCCCAGCCCCACAGTGGTGCAGCCCCCCCCCACCCCCCCAGCAGAGCCACAGTGGTGCAGCCCCCCCCCACCCCCAGCAGAGCCACAGTGGTGCAGCCCCCCCCCCCCACCCCCAGCAGAGCCACAGTGGTGCAGCCCCCCCCCCCCCCCAGCAGAGCCACAGTGGTGCAGCCCCCCCCCACCCCCAGCAGAGCCACAGTGGTGCAGCCCCCCCCCCACCCCCAGCAGAGCCACAGTGGTGCAGCCCCCCCCCCCCCCCCAGCAGAGCCACAGTGGTGCAGCCCCCCCCCCCCCCAGCAGAGCCACAGTGGTGCAGCCCCCCCCCCCCCCCAGCAGAGCCACAGTGGTGCAGCCCCCCCCCCCCCCAGCAGAGCCACAGTGGTGCAGCCCCCCCCCCCCACCCCCCAGCAGAGCCACAGTGGTGCAGCCCCCCCCCCCCCCCCAGCAGAGCCACAGTGGTGCAGCCCCCCCCCCCCCCCCAGCAGAGCCACAGTGGTGCAGCCCCCCCCCACCCCCCAGCAGAGCCACAGTGGTGCAGCCCCCCCCCCCACCCCCAGCAGAGCCACAGTGGTGCAGCCCCCCCCCACCCCCAGCAGAGCCACAGTGGTGCAGCCCCCCCCCCCCCCAGCAGAGCCACAGTGGTGCAGCCCCCCCCCCCACCCCCAGCAGAGCCACAGTGGTGCAGCCCCCCCCCCCCCCCCCAGAGCCACAGTGGTGCAGCCCCCCCCACCCCCCCAGCAGAGCCACAGTGGTGCAGCCCCCCCCCCACCCCCAGCAGAGCCACAGTGGTGCAGCCCCCCCCACCCCCCCAGCAGAGCCACAGTGGTGCAGCCCCCCCCCACCCCCCCCCAGCAGAGCCACAGTGGTGCAGCCCCCCCCACCCCCCCAGCAGAGCCACAGTGGTGCAGCCCCCCCCACCCCCCCAGCAGAGCCACAGTGGTGCAGCCCCCCCCACCCCCCCCAGCAGAGCCACAGTGGTGCAGCCCCCCCCACCCCCCCAGCAGAGCCACAGTGGTGCAGCCCCCCCCCACCCCCAGCAGAGCCACAGTGGTGCAGGGGGCTTACGGAGAGATGTGTCCAGTGACTAATTCCACATGTGAAAGGATCATCCTCGGCTTGTGCAAACTGCAGAGCGCCCACAAACCAGAACCAGGCCAAAGGAATATCACCACAGGACATAATGAGGGTCGGTCCAAGCTCAGGGGGGAGGAGGGGGGTCGTGCAGAAGGAAGTAGGACCCTTTAGATCACTGCCAACCAGACCAAACCAAACCAGTCCAGATAGATCAGGTGTGGCTGCAGGTTTTCAGACCGAGCAGGAGCAGAGCAGACTCCACCCATTTCCTCCTCAACAGAGTTCAGTTTTAACCTGAAGATTTAAGGAAATGGGAGGAGTCTGCTCTGCTCCTGCTCGGTCTGAAAACCTGCAGTGACAGCAATACAACCTATACTTAAAATCAGTGTTTTTCAACCAGTGAAATGTTGTTTGGTGTGCCTTTGGAAACAGATAGTTAAGTTACCACAGATCACTACAAACTTTTCTGCACTAGTTAACTGGAACTATGGCGACTGAAAGACAAAAGTACTTCTGAGAAAGACCAAAGTTGAAAAGGACAGAGAATAGAAGCAGCTGCTCAGGATCAATGCAACACAACTTCAGCAGTAAAACAACAGCAGTGAAACATCAGCAGTAAAACATCAGCAGTGAAACATCAGCAGTAAAACATCAGCACAGCAGCAGGAGAATGACAGTGTGGGGCTTACCTTGTGGAGACCTGCTGCAGCTATCGCCCCCTGCTGGAGGGGGTTAGTGGTGAGTGACGGGTGAGGCATGGATGGAGATCAGGTGAGAAGAGCCCAGAGAGGTCAGAGAACTCATTAGGACCATAGCTCACACAAATGCCATATTCTGTATTTATTATTATGACAGTGACTCATGAAACATGGAGGGAGGGGCTGAAGGATGTACACTACCGCTCAAAAGTCTGGGGTCACATTGAAATGTCCTTATTTTTGAAGGAAAAGCTGTAGATAACTTTAAACTAGTCTTAACTGTAAAGAAATACACTCTGTACACTGTTATGTGGTAAATGACTGTTCTACAAATGTCTGGTTTTTGGTGCAATGTTTTTGCTGCAAATGGAGGATTCTTTGACGAAAGCAAAGTTTGATTTAAAACAAATCTTATTTCAAATACAAATGATTATTTCTAACCTTGTCGATGTCTTGACTCTAATTTCTATTCATGTCACAAAGTACGGTGGTGAATAATGGTGTGACTTTTCATGGAAAACAAACTTTTGAACGGTAGTGTATATAAGTATTGTATAGATTTATGAACATTTGAGGTATAAATATATATGAAATAATAACATTGTATTGTCTTTGCTTTATGAGGTTTGTCAAAGTTATACATTCAATTCATTGTTTTGTGATGAGCTAAAATTACAGCAGAAGCAGAGTGAGACCTCCTCTCTATAAAAGACCTCTTGTTTTGTTAATCACATTTGTTTTCTCTCGGCAACTTGAACAAGGATCAGAATTCTTTTTTATTATTTTTTTAAATTAAAGGAAATCACAAACTAGGAATTTGCTAAAGCAGTATTTGTTCACAGAGTGTTCTGTTGGTCTCATGATGCGAGGAGCACACTGTGTTTTTATTTTACTGAAAGTCTACGGCACCAGGCTTTTATTTAGCCTTTATTCATCTAAATATTGATCGATCTGGCAACATTTTACCTGACTTTATGTTTGTATTCATGAGTTAAATCCAGTCCATGTCCTTCAGTGGGATAAACGTCCTTTTGAAGAATAAGTAGCACAGGTTTGTGTTGGAGTCATTTTATTTTAGATCGAGTTTTGGTGAAACAAGGAAGAGAATGTGTTTCAGGACCAGATTGTGACCAATCACAGCGGACCACTGGCCCCCACTTTCTTGAGAAAAGCCACAGGTCTGAGGTTAGTACGGACAGGTCTGTGGTTAGCACGGACAGGTCTGCGGTTAGCACGGACAGGTCTGCGGTTAGCACGGACAGGTCTGCGGTTAGCACGGACAGGTCTGCGGTTAGCACGGACAGGTCTGCGGTTAGCACGGACAGGTCTGTGGTTAGCACAGACAGGTCTGTGGTTAGCACGGACAGGTCTGTGGTTAGCACAGACAGGTCTGCGGTTAGCACGGACAGGTCTGTGGTTAGCACAGACAGGTCTGTGGTTAGCACGGACAGGTCTGTGGTTAGCACGGACAGGTCTGCGGTTAGCACGGACAGGTCTGTGGTTAGCACGGACAGGTCTGCGGTTAGCACGGACAGGTCTGTGGTTAGCACGGACAGGTCTGAGGTTAGTACGGACAGGTCTGTGGTTAGCACGGACAGGTCTGCGGTTAGCACGGACAGGTCTGCGGTTAGCACGGACAGGTCTGCGGTTAGCACAGACAGGTCTGAGGTTAGCACGGACAGGTCTGTGGTTAGCACAGACAGGTCTGAGGTTAGCACAGACAGGTCTGAGGTTAGCACGGACAGGTCTGTGGTTAGCACGGACAGGTCTGCGGTTAGCACGGACAGGTCTGTGGTTAGCACGGACAGGTCTGCGGTTAGCACGGACAGGTCTGCGGTTAGCACGGACAGGTCTGTGGTTAGCACGGACAGGTCTGTGGTTAGCACGGAGGTTAGCACGGACAGGTCTGCGGTTAGCACGGACAGGTCTGCGGTTAGCACGGACAGGTCTGCGGTTAGCACGGACAGGTCTGCGGTTAGCACGGACAGGTCTGTGGTTAGCACGGACAGGTCTGCGGTTAGCACAGACAGGTCTGAGGTTAGCACAGACAGGTCTGCGGTTAGCACAGACAGGTCTGCGGTTAGCACAGACAGGTCTGAGGTTAGCACAGACAGGTCTGCGGTTAGCACAGACAGGTCTGCGGTTAGCACAGACAGGTCTGCGGTTAGCACGGACAGGTCTGCGGTTAGCACGGACAGGTCTGTGGTTAGCACGGACAGGTCTGTGGTTAGCACGGACAGGTCTGAGGTTAGCACAGACAGGTCTGTGGTTAGCACAGACAGGTCTGCGGTTAGCACAGACAGGTTTGCGGTTAGCACAGACAGGTCTGCGGTTAGCACAGACAGGTCTGCGGTTAGCACAGACAGGTCTGCGGTTAGCACAGACAGGTCTGCGGTTAGCACAGACAGGTCTGTGGTTAGCACGGACAGGTCTGCGGTTAGCACGGACAGGTCTGCGGTTAGCACGGACAGGTCTGCGGTTAGCACGGACAGGTCTGTGGTTAGCACAGACAGGTCTGTGGTTAGCACAGACAGGTCTGCGGTTAGCACAGACAGGTCTGCGGTTAGCACAGACAGGTCTGAGGTTAGCACAGACAGGTCTGCGGTTAGCACAGACAGGTCTGCGGTTAGCACAGACAGGTCTGCGGTTAGCACGGACAGGTCTGAGGTTAGCACGGACAGGTCTGTGGTTAGCACAGACAGGTCTGAGGTTAGCACAGACAGGTCTGCGGTTAGCACAGACAGCTGAGGTAAACAAGCGGCGGAGGCTAACCTGAAACTTCTGTGTCTTTGTTACTGCTTACTCAGAGAAACAGACCAAAGAAAGTGTGGTTCCTCCGCACTTCCTGGTTCTATCATTCTATGGTCACGCCACGTTCACATGTGTCCATGTGAGACGTGAGCTCTGTAAACAGTTAGCACAGGCTGGGGGGGGGGGTGGTGGGGGGCGATAACCTCGTGAGTACCGGACGGCGTGCAGAAAGAGCGAGACCAAAACAGTTTGGCTCAAACGCTGAGTTTTGGTTTGTCACATTTTTACATCGGTTTTTTTTTTCAGAAAGAAAAGTGAGACCAATTCAACTGGTGCCTCTGGTGGTAGCACAGGGACAGCATTATCCCTTGATACTTATTTCACCAAATATTTTCTTTTTTTTTTTTTTTTTTTTTTTTTTTTTTTCTTTATTTGATTTTCAAGGTAACATACATTCAACAAACAAACAAACAAACAAGAATATGTGTAGAGACACATATTTTAAGGAATACAGCAAATTGTGCGCGTGTGAGGGTGTGTGTGTGTGGCGTGCGTGCGTGTGTGTGTGCGGAACAGTACATTGTGCAAGCAACATTATTATTAATTTATGAACTATAAAAGAACAAACAAAGAAAAATAATGGACAGACAATAAGCATAACACTGGATGATAAGTTTTAACCTATGGCTAGAGAAGACATGGGATATATTGGAGCTACATAAAGAAAGAAATGGTGCGGTAGTAAATGTATAATGAGACAAACAGTAATACAAGTTATAAGAATAAATAGAATAATAAAAATAAAACAAATAATAATATTAATAATAAAAAAAATAAAAATAAAAAAATAGAAAATGGTCCAACCGATATACCCATACGCAAGCATATGCTTGTACCCATGGTTGAAGTGTTTAACCTATAAGGATTGTTGAAGGCAGTAATAGTGGCAGAAGGAGAGGGGAAAAAAAAAAAAAAAAAAAATAAAATAAAGTCTGCATACAGATATATACCCATAAATACATACATACAGTATATGTACCCACGGATATACACACGCACCTATACATTTATATACACACATAAAAAAATCATATATGTGGATTACATATATGAAATATAGAGATTTTATTATATAGGGTTATCCCAAATTATTTACGCACACCATATTTAGAGATACAATCCACTTTCCCTATGTCTGGTCCCTCCATCTCCCACCGTGCCTTAATGTGTAGTGCATTAAAAACATTTGTGGAATGTGGTGCATTAAAAAAAAAAATAAAAAAAAAACTCAGACATACTTGGTAAGAGATCGAGGGGGGATGCTTTTTTGTTTTCTAATTTTAATTTTTTTTAAAAAAAGGACAATCCTATATAATATTAGTGGTGTTTATGAGGGAAATTGATTATAGGGAGAATAAATGCGTACAAAAAATAAAATAAAAAAATAGAAATAAAAAATAAATAAATATAATTATAATAATTATAATAATTATAATACTGCCACTGCCACTGCCATCAAGAAGAGAAAAATGTATACAAGAATAATGATAATAATTATAATGAAAATAATCATAATAATAATAATAACAGTAACCATAATAATAGTAATAAATAATAGTCCAGTTGCGACTTATATATTATAGTACAGGAGGTAAAGAAAAAGGCAAATAAATTCATGATCATAAGTAAGGAGGAGAAAGAAGCAAAACAAAACACATCTAAGTTGATTTCTGGGTAGGAGGAGGTATTGTGGTATTGTCAAGATTATAGCATTATGAGTGTATTGATGTGATGAGGGACGACCAGACGGAGGGTTCTATTGCGGATTGGTTGGAATGGTGCAGGGAGTTTTTTGTTGAGATGTATTGACTCATTAGATTTTTCCATAATGCAATGTTTATGTTTGACCTTGATTTCCAGTTCATGAGGATTGTTTTCTTGGCGATGGTTAGGGCCACTAGCAGCATATTTGTGTCTGAGTGAGTGTTTATTTGAGACAGGTCGCCGAGCAAACAGAGGGAGGGGGACATTGGAATATGGCAACCAATAAGTGAAGAAAGAATTAATGTGACCTTTTCCCAAAATTGTGAGGTGGGTGGACAATGCCAGAAGGCGTGGATATAGGTGTCTGGTGTGTTCTGAGTGCAGTTAGTGCAGGTGTCTGATGTGAATCCCATTTTGAACATTCTGTGCCCCGTGTAGTGAGTTCTGTGCAAGACTTTGTATTGTATGAGTTGTAGGTCTGTGTTTTTTGTCATAGTATATATGTTTTTACAGATTTGAGTCCAGGAGTTGGCATCGAGAACAAAGGCTACGTCTTCTGCCCATTTGGAGGTTGGGAGAGTGGTGGATTCGTCTGATTGTAAGATTAATTTGTAGATTTTGGAAAGGCGTTTTTTGGGTATATTAATTCTGATAATGTTTGCGATTAGTGGCGGGAGGTTTAAATTGTTGGGGTTGTTTTTTAATGTCGAGGTTAAGGATGATTTTAGTTGAAGGTATTCCAAGAAATGTTTGCTCTCGATGCCATACTCCCGGACCAGGGTGGTGAATGAAGCCAATTTATTGTGGTGGGTAATGTGTTGTAAGTGGGTGACCCCTTTTCCCGCCCATGTGATGAAATGAATAGTGTTTTTATTACAGCAAATGTCCGGATTATTCCAAATGGGGGTGTGAATTGATGGGGCCAAATTAGTGCTAGTGATTTTGTGTAATTTCCACCAAGCTGTCAAAGTTGAAGATATAGTTAGTGATTTGAAAAGGGGTTGTTTTTTTATTGCTTGACTGAGGAATGGTAGGTCCGAGATTTGAAGAGGAGTGCAAAGGGTTTGTTCAATGTCTATCCAAGTGTTATCTGCTGCTTGTGGGTGAATCCATTTGAGGATGTATTGTAATTGGTTTGCAATGGAATAGAGAGTGAAATTTGGAGCTGTGAGTCCACCAAGGTCTTTAGGTTTTTGTAGAGTGGTTAACTTTATTCGAGGAGGTTTATTTTTCCAGTAGAATTTTGCAATGATGGAGTCCAATGATGTAAACCAGGAGGAGGGGGGGTGGATTGGGATCATGTTGAATAGGTAGTTAATTTTAGGGAGGATCATCATTTTGATACTATTTATTCTACCGATGAGGGAAAGTGGTTGGTTCGTCCAGCGAAGTAAGTTGTCCTTTATTGTTTTTAATAGTGGTGTGAAGTTGAGGTTAATGAGCTCTGACAGCTTGGAGGAGATGTGCACACCCAGGTAAGTGATGTGGTTGGTGGAGACAGGGATAGGGGGGCTATAGGCTGCCATATCCCAGATGTTTTTTTGTGAAGGGAGGATTGATGATTTAGTCCAGTTGATGGTGTAGTCTGAGATCTTCGAGAATTGTTCTATAACCTTTATTGTTTGTTCTAGCGAAGATTGTGGGTTTTGAAGGAATAAAAGTATGTCATCTGCGTATAGACTGATTTTATGGTGATTATTGGGTGTTTGTACTCCTTTGATGAAGGGATCTTGACGGATGGCTGTGGCTAACGGTTCAATGAATATTGTGAAAAGGAGCGGAGAGAGTGGACAGCCCTGTCTGGTCCCCCTGTGAAGTGTGAAGCGGTCTGATGTGAGTCCATTAGTGGTTATTGTGGCGGTCGGTCACCAAATATTTTCTACTTTTAATTATTTCAAATTCTGTCAGACCTTTGAAGCTAAGCAGGGTGTGGCCAAGTTAGTACTGTGATGGGAGACCTCTAAGAACCAGGTGCTACAGTGGGGCGACTGCGGCAAGACACTTCCCCCACATTAGAATGAGTCTGGTGTGTGTGTGAATGGTTGGTGGAGGTGGGAGGGGCCGATGGCACAGACTGGTTGGCTCGCTTCTGTCAGTGTGCCCCAGGGCAGCTGTGGCTACAGTAGTTTATCACCACCGTGTATGAAGTGCATGAATAAACCTGTGTGAAGTGTCTTTGAGAGTCCAGAAAAGCGCTGTATCAAATCGACGCTGAATCTCTGGCTTCACTCTGGTTCACAGATGTTTGCCCTGGATCCTCTCGCCGCTGTCAGACGTGACGCTGACGGATCAGGATGAGAACGTGCCGCAGACGTGTGGACGGTAAGGAGCGCTTCATATTCACACAGAGAATAGTTGGTGCAAAAACAGCTGCAAAAGACCTCCGCTCTACAGAGACTGGAGTCGTTTGGTGAAGATCTGCAGCTGAGCTTGGTTTTACACAAACTCCAAACACGGTGGTGATAAACTACTACTGTAGCCACAGCTGCCCTGGGGCACACTGACAAAAGTGAAGCAACCAGTCTGTGCCATCGGCCCCTCAATGAAGATCTCAAATAGGAACTAATGATGACATCACCATATACAGTCTTTCTTGTCTTTTTTCAGTGTTTTTTAATGAATTACTAAGTTTCTTAATTGCCTAAAAGTTGGTTGTGGCCCAGAACCATCTCTCAAAGACGATCAGAATGAATAGTTTGACTGTAGAGAGTCTGAAAGCACTGCACAAACTGCTTCTACAGTCATCGCTGTGAAGACGAAGGAGTGACGACTGAGCCTGGACCAAATCTCAATAAAAGAAATGCAGCATTTACAGCTGGTTAAGAAACGTTACAGCTACTTATACTAAAAATATCAAATCTATTTTGTGTGCTCTTGCTACTGTCCTGTATGTGCGCTGCAGCTTAAAAAAGATCCCCACCGTGCGACGAATAAAGGTTCTTATCTAATCTATAAAGAGTCTTGTCTAAGTAACACTGATTATACTACATATATGAATATTACTACATAGTTACTTTGTTATGGTTTCAAAGTTAGGTACTCCAGCTTTAATATCTGATGTCAAAGGCCTGAGTCCTGGATCTACAGCCGTCCATCATCAGAGCGACCCCCTCCTCAATGTGGGCTTCTCCGAGGTTTCTCACTTTTCTCCCACTGGGTTTTAGTCATTTAAGGACATTGGTCTCTGCCCCTTTTGGACCAACGGCTCTGTGTGTTTATTATCATTGACATTTTCTGTGTTTGAAGTGTTTGATTCTCTGATCTGTTTTGGCTAATCGACAATGTTGTGTTAAATCCTTCAAGATAATGTTGTGATTTAGGGCTATACAAAAATGAATTGAATTGAATTGAATCTATGAGGGGCCCCTCTTATCACGGTGGTGATAAGAGGGGCGACAGTAGCTCAGTTGGTAGAGCATTGGCCTTAAGCCTAGAAGGTCGTGGGTTCAATTCCCACCTCTGCACCTTCTCCACCGACTCCCACTGATGACTGCTGTCGTTGTGTCCTTGGGCAAGACACTTAACCCCACTTTGCCCAAAGCCCCCACTGAAAGATCAAGGCTATGCTCACACTCAGAGAGCAGCCGTCCTCCTGTGGACTCACCACCTGCAGAGGGTCAGTGAGGGGCTGGTGCTATGAGACTTGGGTGGCATCTCTGATTGCCACCCCCCTGACCCAGAAATGGATTAAAGGGTAGAAAATGGATGGATGGATGAATCTATGAGGACACTTTTGACAACCGGAACCTCAAACCCCCCATTCTCCCCCCTGAGTGTCAGTGAAGTTGTGTTAGAGTTTGGTGTTGAGATGCAGATGGAGTGGGTGCGTTCTGATTGGCTCTCTGCTGCGCTCTGATTGGCTCTCTGCGGCGCTCTGAAGGATATGGGCTGGACACCATGCGGATGCACCAGTTGCGGGGGCAGGTGGTCTGTTTGAGGCAGAAGAAGACCACAGGAGCCAGCTCGGGGTACGGCAGCACCAGAGCGCTCAGGTCGCTGCCCAGACTCACGTCGTCTCCGTCCTCCGCCGGGCACGCCTCTTCTGTGATGTCATCACTGTGCGCCGAGTAGCAGTCATCCACCCGCCCCCCCGGGACCGCCGCGACCACAGGACACTCCTCGCTCGTCATGGCAGCCACGCTCCGATCTGCAAGAGGCAGAGACGCAGAGGTTAGATTCAGTTTTGTTTGCCATTTGCAGTAAAACCACATTGGAATACTTGTGCAAAAGTCTCCAGCGCTCACGAGACAAGAACATGTTCATAAAACAAGCTAAGCGGTCCAGAAACTATAGACTATTGATAAGATAAGATAGACTTTATTGATCTCACTCAAGAGAAATGTACATGTCACATCTGGCACAGACAGAATCACTCAGATCATGCAAAAGACAGAAATGTGCAACATGTTAAATGCAGTATAATTATGTACAATTAAAAGTGGCAATCAATAAAGTGTCAGTGGTAGTGCAGGTTTTTTCAGTCCTAATGCAAGTGACTTAAAGTGACTTATTGTACAGTCTGACAGTGGTTGCCTGGCCTGCCAAACGATATGCTTTTTCAAAGACATATAGTCTGGGAACGAGCTTGATCTCAGCGAATTCCCGGTGGGCGTGGTTGACAGACTGCATCAACCAATTAGATGCACACAGGATATGACGCAGCAACTAGCGGCACCCAAGCCGTTTCAGTAAACACAAAACAAGGGATGGCGGCATGTCAGCTAGTGCAAATGTAAACAACTGCTGTCGATTTTGTAACAAAAACTTAAAGATACGAGGAGTTATTAGCAACTCAAAGGTGAAAGGAAGTCCCGCCTCTCGGTGCGTGATTGGACCGATGTGGGTAAAATCGTGAAATGATAGGCTAGGAAGAGGTGTCCAGACGGTTCTTCTTTTGAACAGAAAGGAGGAGTGTCTGGCAGGCCAGGCAATGACAGTGGTGGGGATAAAGGCCCTCGAGGTTTCTCACTTTTCTCCCACTGGGTTTTCAGAAATGTCCTTTGCCGACGCAGGAGGCTCATTTATGGACATTTATTAACATTTACAAACATCAGTAATCCCTTATGGACCAATCTCTATGTGTTTTTATCATTTTTTGAGCAACACTCTCAGGTTTTATTGAACGAGCACGTATCACCAGAATGATTGACAACTGGGAGGACCAATAGTCGTGATGATCCACCCGGAAGTAGAAAATCCTCCTTTATATATATATAAGTGTCAAATGTATGAGTACTATTGACCCTTTAAAACCAGGTGACCAAAGCTCTGACCCTAACCCTAACCCACTCCCAGGAACAACTCTGGGTCCACAGCTTTGATTTGAAAAGCTCTGCGAAAAGAGTCAAGACACAGTTCAAGAAACGAAAGAAGAAAACCAAATCAAGGAATATTCAAGGAATTGTGCAATTGATTAATCTATATTTGGAAACTTTAAATGTGTGAGTTCATGTCCTGAAAGCCTCCTATGGACAAGTGTTGACAATGGTAATGGTCTGACTGTGACACTAAAGGACCATCTGTTTAATGTGTTAAACCGTGTTAAATGAATAAGTAAATAAGTTGGCGGAGCCTGTGGGAGGAGCCTGTGGGAGGAGCCTGTGGGAGGAGCCTGTGGGAGGAGCCTGTGGGAGGAGCCTATGGAAGGAGCATGTGGGAGGAGCCAACGGTGCATATTTGTGGTGATGGAAAACAGGGTAAAAAGACATTAACAACGTTGTGTGGCAGCGATGACGCGCACACACACAGACACACACTCAGATACACACACACACTCACACACACACTCAGACACATACACACACACACACTCAGACACATACACACACACACACTCAGACACACTCACACACACACACACACACACACACACACTCAGACTCACACACACACTCACACACACACACACACACTTTCAATGACACAGAGGAGAATTGATTTGAGTTATTTCTAAAGTCTACAACATTTTTGCATAAAAGGAACGTTGCCACCATTTCAATCAGTCGCCAAGGTCAAACACAGGATATGCACGCCCAATGTTTGCATTTCTGCGTCTGAGTGTTAATTATAATACCAAGATAATACTGTATTGTCTCCCATTAAAAAAATGTGTGTTGTGCATCGACTGTGAATATTAACCGACGTAGTCACGCCCATCTCCGCCCTTCAAACTAATGTGCCACTACTTTCACCGTCTATGCGCAGTTTCAAAATGGCCGCAGGGCCTGGAAAGTATGAAAAAACATCAGCTGCACGAGCTCCATTCATTTAAACGAGTGACTTCTAAAGTCCACAGCGACTAAACTAGACTGGTCCAGAACACTCAGCATTGACACACATGTGGAACGGAGCTTTGGGCCAAGAGACAACTTTTGGACCATCCTGAAAAGACGTTTTCCAGAGGTCAGAATATTCCGGGTCTACCCCTACTGGCCCGGGGTGGTATTGCAAGCATGTCAGCCCACGTCATTTTGGACATTTTTAGCCGGGACCCCAACAGGGACAGAGGTTTACATACATTTACACAGACACCACACACATGGACACACATCGCAGCAGACATTAAACAGACCGACACCAGGTCAGAGCACCATCAAAGACCTCCAGGACCAGGTGTCTCCAACCTTTTTCACCCAGAGAGCAACGATAAAGCAGAGAGCTACTCCTTTAAGCCCCTGGGTCTGAACGAGCCTCATATCGGTTACAGTCATGATCTATCACTGCGTTACTAATGACAAAGTAAGTGCATTTACAATATTTTGATTTGTTCATTTCTTTTACGTCTTACTTCTGTACTTTTAACCTTGTTTTTAGTTCTTCACTTGTCTGGTGCACACTGAGGACTTTTGCAAATGTATTCCAATGTGGTTTTACTGCAAATGGCAAATAAACTGAATTGGATCAGAATCTAAATCCTTTGGCGAGCTACAGGTTAGAGACCCCAGGATCATAGAAAAAAGAATTGCCAAAGTAGAAGCTTATACTCATACACCACACACACACACACACACAGACACACACACACACAGACACACACACACCCGCACACACACACACACACCCCCACACACACACACCCACCCACACACACACACACCCGCACGCACACACACACACACACACACACCCACACACACAGACACACACACACACACACACACACACACACACACACACACACACAGTCTTGTTTTTCCTATTGTTTTTGTCTGTACGTCTGCATTTGTATTGTACGTCTATATTTTCACATTAAAGGCTCCTGAGTCTAATTCTAGCAGAGCCAACGCTTCCCGCTCTCGTCTGCATCAAACGGAGCGTGTTTTCTGATGTGAATGAACCTCGTCAGGAGCGAGTGTGGTCCCAGAGTCTGCGTCACAGCCCATCACCACAGGAAGCAGGATTACACCACTTACATTTGGGATGGAGGTGTCAGAGCGAGTGAGGGTTCTCTAAAGCTATAGAAACATGTACATCGTAAAACATGATGTCACCACAGACTGTAATGGCTGTATGTAGGTTTTGACAATGCTAACAATGCTAACAATGCTAACGTGCCGCTCTATGAAACCTATAGGGAAGATATACTTTACTGATCTCCCAATGGAGGATATCGGTTTGAGGAGTAGTCATACACACATTTCACATCAACAAATGCAGCGGGCTGTTACTCCCGCGCTCCTTAAAGGCAAAGTGGGGTAAAGTGTCTTGCCCAAGGACACAACGACAGCAGACAGCAGTGGGACTCGAAGCCACGACCATCAGGCTCAAAGGCGAACCACTGTCGCCCCTTAGTGGTGGGAATCTGCAAATCTGTGACCATTCGATATTATGGTTTAGGCCTTAATGTAATATTACCGTGAGTCTGAACATATCGCGATACAGCAAGTATCGTGATTCAAATCTGCGATATTTTGTGATTCATGTCCTTCATATTATTCAAAGGCATCGACTGGATTTATAGCTGACTCATGACGGGTGATGTGCCACTTGGATTCTTCAGATATTCAATCGTTATTTATCTGTATAGCACAATTTGAGTTCAAGGCAAATCAAAATGCTTCAGAAGAGCAATTTCAAAACAGATCAAAATGCACCAAAAACAATGAAGCAAATATGTATACAAGCGTGGCATATGAAAACAGCAGGAAAGTATTCTAGGGTTTCATCTGACGTCAGGGCAGTAGTGAATAACAAACGTAGGACAGGACGTGACGTACCCTGGCGGTGCAGTCTGCCGGGTTTATACACAGAGATATAGTAGAAGAAGAAGAGGTTTATACACGGAGATATAGTAGAAGAAGAAGTGCTGTCAAAACACCATCTTTGTGTGCGGTGTACGTTTGTAGCAACCGCACAAATAGAGAGAAAGACCAGAGTTTGTTCATGTTCCAACTGTGGTCTCATATAAAGGAGGACACTTTGAAAAAAATCACTGGAATGAGGCGGATAAGCGCCAGATAAGCGCCCCCTGCAGGCCACCACAATGAAACGTAGCCATTTCTTTTGTTGTTTTTTCTAAAAATGCCCAATTAAGTCCCCGATAAAGACTGTTCCAACAACCGTACACCGCACAGGAGGAGAGCCTTTGAGTCCAAAACAGACTTTACATGGTTTTCAATGGAAGCAACACTGTCCCATCTCTGCTCATGCGCCCCCTACTGGCCAGTTTAATGAAGAGGTATTACTTGTTTTACACGATCAACAGGCTGTAACAGATTTGAAATAAAAAGTGGATAGAATCAGAGATAATGCAAAGAGGCCGCTGTGTGTGAAAGTATATTATTCACATTTCTCTAATAGTGCAGCCTCTTCTAATATTTATTCAGCCTTTTGTTTCTCTCCGCCTCAAACATCTCCCTCACTTTAGTTTGATGAATCAATCGTGTTATTTATGTAAAAATCCATATTGCATTTGAATATGTTTGCTGTATATTTGAGTCCAACAGGGCAAATACCAGAACAACACAAAACACCGTCCTCCTGAAAACACACTGTCTCCTGAAAACACACTGTCTCCTGAAAACACACTGTCTCCTGAAAACACACTGTCTCCTGAAAACACACTGTCTCCTGAAAACACACTGTCTCCTGAAAACACACTGTCTCCTGAAAACTGGGACCTCTCCTGTTC